TATACAGGGTGGGGCATTTTAAACAGGTCACCTGAATAACTCGCTTGTTTTTAAAGATAGGAGAAAATGCATTAGACCAAACTTACTTGGTATCGGGAGGCTCATATAATCTGGTATTACCAATTTTTCTGTAGGTGGAGGCGTCAAGGAGATATGAAGGTCAATTCTGTGTTTTTAAATGGAACAGTAAGTTTTTTTTACTTACATTCTGATAGAGCGTTTCGAGGCGAATACAATGAACTATTATGATGGTCATTCAAGTTCACCCAAAGTCAACTGCAAGAGAAAATAAATTGTCTCAGAGTACTTCTCGAATACTTGTGTATCACGTGTGTGTATTACGTGACACGGGTCACAAAAGATAAACAAACATTCGATCACATTGTACGCTGATCTGTATCCTCAAACATTATTGGTAATTTTAAATTATCTGTTTTAGAAAATAATTTGAAGAAAAATTCAGAGATTTATACGTTTCAGCGAAGGATTAGAAATGTCGTAAATATTTCTGGACTTTTCGTACTAAATGTCATATTGTCATAGTGTTGTGGTCGTTGCATTGGACTTGATCTTAGCTTTTACATTATGACGATAAAAATTGCACACGAGTAAATAGATGACATTATTTTTTTTATTAGATTTATAAACAAATTTGTGCGATTATTTGCCATTTTACTGTCCTTTAGCTTTGCTTTTCTGTGTCACTTTGGGTGACCTTGAATGACCTTCATAATAGTTCATTGTATTCGCCTCGAAACACTCTATCAGAATGTAAGTAAAAAAACTTACTGTTCGATTTAAAAAAACAGAATTGACCTTCATATCTCCTTGACGCCTCCACCTACAGAAAAATTGGTAATACCAGATTATGTGCCCCCCGATACCAAGTAAGTTTGGTCTAATGCATTTTCTCGTATCTTCAAAAACAAGCGAGTTATTCAACAACTCTGACCAAATTGTCAATATTTGTGCACAATCTGAGCGTCGATTAGGGAGAATTTACTGTAGAACGTTAAGCATTGAGGTTATGTCATCAACAATCGAGCAAATTTGATTTTCAGTTATTCTCGACTTAACTTTATGATCGTGGCGTCAATCGACAGCTGAGATTCTACTGATTAATAAATTTAGTACAGACAGACGACGGTAATTGGATTAATAAATAAGCAATCTGTGATATTAAACGTAGTAATTAACTAACCAATAACAAACTCAGCTATCTATTCTCGTGTGAATTTAACCATGCGCCACCGCGTTTACTTTTGAGCCCAGCTCGAGTCGCCATCTCCGAATCCCGATGGCAGCGATTTCTTCAAAGAGTTCGGATCGTAGAGATCGTAGTCCCGGCGATCCTCCGGTCGCTGATAGCATCGACGAAAGTGCTCTATCTCGACGTGTATCTTTCGTCGCTCCTGCAAAGTCAACGGAGGCAACCGATAATAATATCGAAAGCATTGTACAGGGTGCCTCAAAAATATCTCGCAATCCGAAAATAACGGGTTCCCGAGGTAATTTCAAGAAACTTTTTCCTTAGCGAAAATGTTCTACGAGGCTTCGTCTACGAGTTATTAAAGAAAAACGGTGAACCAATGAGATGCGAGCTCGGCTGGCGCGACGCGGCCCAGTTCCGCCGATTGGCTCAGCCGCGCGAGCTGATCTCGCGTCTCATTGGTCACGGTTTTTCTTTAATAACTCGTAAACGAAGCCTCGTAGAACATTTTCGCTAAGGAAAAAGTTACTTGAAATAACCCAAGGAATCCATCATTTCCCGATTGGGGGACATTTTTGGGACACTCTGTATATATCACCGAAATCATTGCATATATGAATACCAAGACCGAAACAGATAGCGGTATTTTTTCGATTCTCCTTTCGATGTGATGCGGTAGATATTAACTTTCAATTAATCTTGATTTGACGTTTTATCGTTCTGCAAAACAAACTGCAAAAAATTTGTTCGTTACAAGAAGGTTAATAAGATGATAGATTTCATGTGATACGTTTATAAGCTCTATTAATTTAACTTATAAAGATATTGTTAAAAATACGTTTATAAGCTCTGTTAATTTAACCTACAAAAATATTGATTTAATATTGTACACTGATATCAAAAATATCAATATATTTTCGTATAATGAAGCATAGTGCATTTACTGTCGTAAGAACGATGTTTCGTTTGTTCTTACCGCGTCGTGGACGACTATTTATAACTATTGTAATATGTAATTGTGGTATTGCTTATCGGTTTCGGTATTGGCTAACATAATATTGACAGTGAAATGTCGGCTTTACATCTATACTTAAAATATTTTGGGAAGTATAATGAAATAGAGAAATCGGAACAATTACCGATGAATATATATATGTATACATATATACATGTATAAACAATATTCTATATATATAAAATATTGTCGTCGCCGTCAAAGTAAAATATAAACGTATCGCTGTGGTTTTTCAGAATTTTATTGTATTAACAAAATGACAGCAATGACTAAGTAATTTATATATATATATACATATACATATGTACTTTGCGTATATATATATAAAATAATTATATAATTTAATAATAATAAATAGTATTAAATTATTAATAAATAATTAATAATAAATATATTATTAATAATATATAATATTAATTATTATATATATAAAATATATATAAAATTAAAATTAAATTAAAATTAAATGAACGTATACCTATATATATAAAATAAAAATTAAATAGACGTATATATATGTGTATATAGCGTGACGTCGTATTGGAATATTTTTGCTCCGTTTTCTACAAGAGTTTCGCAAGCAACAACCGAAAAATACCGACGTAATACCGGTGTTTTACATTTCCGACCGGTAGTCCCCGTATAAAATAGACCTCGGTTTCGCGGTGGACGCGTAGCGTTGAAAAAGCGCTCGAGAAACAACGGGCGCGATAACGTTGAACGTGCGTTCGGGATCTTTAAAACGACGGCACCGCAGAAGACGATTAATCATCCGGCCGGCGGCCGCTTGTGTTTTTTTCTTTCTCTCTCTCTCTCTCTCTCTCTCTCTCTCTATCTCTCTCTCCGCGCCGCGTAATTGACAGTTTTACCTCTTCTTGTTGCTTCTCTAGGAGCAAGGCGAGGCCGCTGCTGCGAATCAAATTCTCGTCGAGCTCGGATTCCCGGGCCTGCTCGAGCCGGCGCAGCTGCTTCTTCTCCTCGACCTGTTTGTCCAAGAATTCCTTGTCTATCTGCGAACAGCACGGGCAAAAATCGTCAACGGTGTATATCGCCGACTAGACAACGCCGTGTTTCTTTCGCGTGGCCCGGTTGCGTGTTCGCGGCGTACCCGTGACGGAGCGTCAACGAACTGCGCCATCTTTCTCACTCACTCCGATCTTCCGGAATCGCGGATTGAAGATCCGCTGCTTCCTCTCGGTGTCCGTCTGCCGACGGCGCTCTATGGACGCGGCCAGCTTCTGGTCCTCCTTGGTCGCCGTCTGGAACTTCAGCATCCTGACCGAAATTCTTGATTCGCGTCGCGAGGTACACGTGATCCGAGTCCGTCGCGAGCTTCGCCCACGAAAGCCGAGGATCGAGTGGAATTCGTTGCCATGGAGTGTTTGGCCGATACACGGCACGCGTAAACGTCGGACACGTTCGGGAAAGACAGACACCGAGAGTAACAGTTGAGCCGTTTATTTTGAAAGTGGAATAAAGTCACTTTGTTTTTAAGTCGATATATTTAAGGGTTTGCGTTTTAACAGGTTTAAAAATATGGATGCTGACTTTCGAGAAGATTTACTTGTATCATAATATATATTATATATATTATATATTATAGTAGTATAGTCATATTATATATTATAATATAGTAATATAGTAATATTTATATGTATATTATATATTATATATATTATATTTTTCTCAGTATAAATAATTTCGAATATACATTAAAAAATCATCACTTTTCATTACGGTAAAGTGACTTATGCCACTTTCAAAATAAACGGCTCAGTTGTGTTATTAAAATTTGATTTTGGTGAAAAGTATTTAGAATAAATTGATTTTTGTTCGCATAGCGGCTAGGCGACATTAAATT